GTGTGTACTTATCTCGAGTTAGTTGTACTCGATTTTGTACCATACTAAAGGAACGGACACTACAAGAAACTAAATGCTCCAGTGAATGATCTTACAATTACAACGCATGAAATTCATCATTATTCACACGGCGTTAAAAATTGTATATTATACGTATACTTGAATAAAAGCCTCTTTAAACTTGATTAATTTATTGAGTTAACAACTAAATAATTGCTGAGTTTGTCGACAGACTTCTTATTTAGCTGGCAATTCAATAAAATATTATAAAACGTATCATTAAAAGGCAAAGCCTGTAATATTTCATTTGATTTTCAAAAGGAAAGCTCATGCAACTGTTTATATGCATATTTTTTGAAGAGGCTCTTCAAGAGTAATATGAAATTATCGCAAATAATATAAAAAGTTTGAAAACATTTGAAAGATCCATGTGCACGTACCTGGTTTTTAACCGCGTATTCTCTCTTTTTACGGTCGGGGCACAAACAATACTTCACTAGCGCGTAAACTTTTTCCTTTAATAACCACGAGCCGAACCACCCTCTACTGCTGGCGTGCAGTTAAGCGCGGTAATATTCCTCTTCCTCCGGCGCTTCGCACAAAATTCGACGTCGTAACGTCGCGCCGTTCTAGAGTTGCTGATATCGCGTAGGCGCTAGGCAGCCTTGAAACAAAACAGAAAAAAAAAAGTAGGAGAGTTGATGATTAATGGCGACTCGCCGGGCCTGAATGCACTGCCGAAAATCTACCTCGAAACATTTTTAGAAGGAACGTTTCACAATGAATTTTCATTAATTCAGAATGATTAATCTCTACGTTTCTGCATAAAAGAGATGCTCCTCTCTTATTTTCACCGTCGTCTAATAACGAGCGAAATTTTTATTTCATCAATCCTATTCACAGTTGGTTACACGATGAATTTTCAGAAGATAAACGAGATACGAATTTTTAAAACGACACGAATTATCTAGCCGTGTCCCGTGTCTCTCGTTTGCGATACGAACTGCGTGTAATTCGAGGGTTAATTCGGGCGAGCCTTGCGCCAGACGTAACTTAAATTCATTGAATTACAGGAATATGACTCGTAAAACCCGGAGTAACTTCCGACTGTCTGGCGCGCGCTCGGAAATGCGTTCCGGATGAGTTTGCCGTTCGTAATTCAAGCCGAGTTTATGCTTCTTGTGTACAAAGTGTTGGGCGCGAAGTTACTACGTTAGAGAAATGTTCCGCTTATGAATCTCGAAAAGCCATCCGTATCCGACAAAAGCGAGACAACTGACACGTGTGACTCGGCACCGTGAAAACTTTCCAGTAATCCGCCCTTAAGTCGTTCGGATCGTCCGAAGATCTCGTCTCTAATTGAAATAAAGTAAACACGTCCCATCGGTCGTCTAACGAGCTGTCTGGCAAATCCTACTCTTGCAACTATTCAATCCCCAAAGTTGCCACGAAACGCTGGCTGTATCATTACAAAATCACGAAACCGGAGCCCGCGGGTCGTCGATCTCCAACCGCTTAAATTTCCATCCGACGTTTTCACCGACCGAGGAAAGTTCGCCCGTTTTTTCTTCCTCTGTACTCTAAGTCGCATTTTTATTCGTCCCACGACGTATCCGGTCGAGCTGACGCCCGCTATATATTTCCCAGGCGAAGTTTTAATATCCTGCGGATGGGAGACGACGTTAGATCTCGCAGCGGGGACCTGGGATGCAACTTTGAAATCCGCGAATCCCACGGCGACGTCGCGCCGATCGAGAGGACCGACCGTCGCTCTCCTAGACGCGCGCATCCCCGAAGGGGTTGCATCGACCCTTTCGAGTCTGATTTCCTCGGTGAATTTGCTTTTTCTATTACGAATAGGGATTCGTGAAATTGAGACCCGATCGCTCTTATTGCCGGCACGCGTCGCCGACAAATAAGAAATTCCCAATTCCTTAATTTCCACAAATAAATGTTATCATGAGAATCAATACTATTCACATGACGATTGAAAATCCTTTCATACAAAGTCATTATAATCTTTCGATTGAGACAACTTTTAATTGCGATTTTTAATACTATTTTGAGAAACATTTTTGTTAATCATTCTTTTATCTGTGAGCGAGTATCGAATAACTTGTGAACGGAGGTGTACATGCGTCTATGTATATCTTCGGGCTTGAGATGTGATCGATAAAGGTCAATGCATCCTCTGAGTTCTCCTCGGGCAGCAATTTTCAGCTTACCGGATCGCACCGAGACGCTTGGAAATCTATATATAAATTCTTTATTGAACGCAAGGGTAATTTATAGTGGCGTTCCGCTGTATCGATGCGTGCACGCTATAAATTTCACTGCACATCCACTCACCCCTGTCGAGGTTCTAAGTATAGCTACTTAATTAATTTTTCTTCAATTGAACGTTTGTTTCAATCGATTTACTGATTTATTGAGAGAGAGAGATTTCTCGAAATTCACACAAGTTCAGAGATTTATTTGTTTGATTGTAATGTTTGATTATATGCTTCACAATACGTTCTAAGACTTATGGACAGGGTTGTACGTGTGCTGGTTGGATGAGAAATCTATATACGGAGAAATGCATCGACGGAAATTTCGGATAGACGCGTTATCGTAAATACGGTCCGACGGGGTGCGGTGTGGCGGCTAGCATGGCACCGCGAATTGATACACATAAATTCGGTAGGCAAAGTGGTGAAAAAGAAGGAGAACGGAAATAGCTGACGTTCGCCACGGAATATTTATTACGTCGGCTCGAGAATTACGCTCGCGGTCTTGGATGCCTGAAAGTTGTTGAGGCGCGAATCAATCTCCGGGAAGAGAAAGAGACGTACGTTTCGTTATTTCATTCCAAACACGAAATTAATTATATTTTCAATCAAACGTTTCAAAAATATTCGCGAGTTTCATTAAATAAATTGAAAAATCAATTTGCCCAAAAATATTTATCTCGTGTTTACGAATTTCTGTAAATCAAAAATTAATCATTCCTCGAATAAATATTTCGTGAAATTGCCAACGTGCAAGCATATTCTGTCGGTACTATAAAAATTGTAAAATAAAAAACAAATGTTCGTTCTCCAATTAGTTTATCGCAACCGCATGTAAATTAACAAATAAACGCAGAGTAGAAGAACCGTCGACGCGCTTTAACGAAGAATAAATTCTATATGATTAAAGGTCGATCTACTTTGAAAGCTCGCGAAATTATCCTCATTGTGCATACAGCCGACCACACGAGCCGCGATAAAATTATTCAAAAACATTTTATCTCAGCCTGATAACCGAGTCTCGTCATAGTTCCATGCACGTGTCTAGTACATAACGTATAACCGTGTAACGAAACTGCGGTAGGAACTAGTTATGCATTCTAAACACGGGAGCGGAGGTAGAGAAAAAAATGGTTTTAAAAATTGCAACGAACAAAAGGTCTCGTAAACAAGCTGATGAATTCGGCGAATACTGTTACTAATAAATCTATTAAACAAACGAGACCAGGAAATAAATATTTCAGCCTCGTGAAGATTAGTTTTCAAAACTCATCCCAAAAGCACTCAATATTGCAACAATATCAAACATTTTTTTATGTAATTGTTTTTTATGTAATGATTTTT